CACACACACACACACACACACACACACACACACACACACACACACACACAACAACAACAACAACACAAGCACGCACAGGGTGACACACACACAACAACAACAACAACACAAGCACATACACGGTAACAACATGGAACACAAACCTATCACACCATGTCAAGTCATACTACATCAAATCACATCATGACATGTCACGATATGTCACACCAACTCACAGCACATCCAGTCAAGATTCTTTAAGCCACAATACGCTACAATACGTCATGTCATGATGAGTCGTGATGTGTCACATTCTGTCATGATATGTCAAGTCATGTCATATCATGTGTGCTGGCAGTAAACATACCGAGGTTTGGGAGGTCGGAGGTCTGACAGACGACTTCGGCCAGTGAAGTGGAGTCCATATCCAACTGAGGCATCGACAGCTGGACACAACAGAACGGTGTTAACACACTGTGTGTGAACACATTGCTGCACCTGGACAGGTGGAGCTCACCTGCATCCTGCAGTCACAGTGCCACAGGTTGTGTGTGAGGTTAGCGATTACTTGCAGCCCGTCAAACACTGCCGGGTCCAACGTAGACAGTCGATTGGATGACAGGTCCAGGAACCGAAGAGAGGACGCCAAACCATTGAAACAACCGACTTCCAGGAAAGAGAGCTGAGAGGAGACAGAGCACAGTGAGGGGACGAACCAGCGTCACCTTCCACATCTGTGGACAGGTGTGGACAGCTGTTGACAGGTGTGGGAAGGTGTGTGTACCTGGTTATGTGACAAATCAAGCTCATCAAGCAGGAAGAGGTCAGAGAACGAATTGGCTGGCAGAGAATTGATCAAGTTCTTATTGAGAAACAGACGAGTGGTGCGATTGGTCAGGCCGACAGGTACCTGAGGACACAAACACACCTGAGCAGGTGCAGTTTTAACAGGCTGTTTGAAAACTAACGAGGTAAACTCACCTGTGTCAGTCTGAGTCCGCTGCAACGCACCGTCAGAGCTCCGTCCGCCATCTCAGACCAGTGGCAGACGTTGATGGTGGACACCTTGTTGCCGCGGCGCCACAGGGCCACGGTCCGCGGTGATGATGTCATCACCAGGGCAGGTAAGGGAAGGATCAGAAGAAGAAGGAGGAGGAGGAGGAGCCTCCACTGTGGTGAAGCATCCACCACAGAAGAAGAAGGTGGCGGCAGACTCTCAGTGTGGGACATGATGTTCATTGTGTCACATGGTAAGCTTTAGGTGGCCATTTTTAAACTGACCAGTGAGGAGGCGGAGCCTGTCTGTGGAAAAACAGGTGAACAAGGAATGAGGCAGTATCTGCTTCAGCCCAGCTGATTATTGTCCCTGCTGGGCAACAATACAACACAGAATATTCTGTTAGCCAGTAAAATCAGAAAAGCTACAGGAAAACTAATGTACAAGTATAATCAATAATATAAATACAAATTGTTTATTCACTCTGAAACATAAATGATCAAACCTTAAAGCTAATTTAATAAAAGTCTAAATTTCTTAAACAGAAAATGAAACCAGATTGACACACAATCGGTTTGTTATCAAACCTCACTGACACAAAGCAGGACCTGAACTGAGATTACTGATGGAGCCAATCAGATTGATTGATGGTTTCATTTCCTGAGGACAAAACACTGAATCAACACTTAGTTTAACCAAGGTCATGTCTATAATAAAAGGCTGCTAATGTGTAAATGTAAACTGGTAATAGAGTAATTCTGGCCACAAGAGGACAAATCATGATGTTTTATTATCATTTATTTTTGATTTATTATAATTATGTCAAACTAACTATAATAAAATTAACCTAAAGCAGCAGCAGCAGGGAACAGAAGGGAAGAGATTATAGAGAGGAGGGGGAGGATAAGAAGACGAAACAAAGGGATAAAGACAAAGAAGAGGAAGAACGGATTAAGAGAGAAGAAGAATCACAATAATCCTACTACAGGGATTAAAACCAGGAGATGAAAGAAAAAAGTTTAAATCGGTCACAGCTGCACAACATGAAGAGAAAGCTTCACCATTAAAACACTGAACGACTTTTACTTTTCATTCATTTCTGTCATTTACACAATTTTGAAATAATCACTTGTTTTTAAATTGTTTGTTCTGTTGTTACTTTCAGATATCGACTGTTTACAGCTTTGAAACACAACAACGACTCTAAAACTAAACAATCAGACAAACAGAGCCAAAGAGGTACAGCAGCAACAAAACAAAAATAAACACAACAATAAACAAAAACAAACAAAAGAAGAGAGGATTTGTACTCACATGTTGTTGGTCCTTTACAGAGAAGAAGAAGATGAAGCAGCAGCAGCAGCAGCAGCAGCAGCAGCAGCTGTCTGACAGACGAAGGAGGAGGAACAGATGAGTGTGTGGCACACCCTCCAACAAACAAATAAATAAACAAACAAACAAACACACATATGAGTCACAGTGTTCTGTTTGCAGGACTTCAGCAGTTCAGTTGGATTAGGGACAAATGAAACGAATTTACAGTGAATTATATATTAATATTTTTTTAAGGACATTTGAAGTTATTGGTGCTAATGATCAGATAAACTGTGACATCATGTGATCAAGACTTCTGGATTAATAAAGTTTGATCCTTTTGGATCATGTGATCAGAGTAGAGCCCTCCGGTGGAAATGACATCACATGACATAACAACAACAATAACAACAATAATAATAATTGTTATGAACCAAAAACATACAACTTGACAAACAATAGAAATAAAAACAATAAATGATCCCCTGAAATAAAAGAATTTATTTTTTTAATTGGTCATGATGAAAATAACAGATACTGGACTTGTTCAAGGCTTCGTAATTGGAATCAGTACACATAATAATATATTATATTACAATAATTATTATTAAATAATTGCTTTTTAACAATTTTACTATGTTACAACAATACAAAAATAAACACAGAATAATAGATATAATACGTTATAATAAAAATGATGTACTAAAAGTAAATTAAAAGTCAGTGTAATAAAAGATCACACTTATTTAGAACAGTGAAATGATGAAAACTACTACATATTTATTTGATTAATGTCCATTTAAATGAAAACCTTTGGGTTTTTTTAGGACTTAAAATTAATGTTTTCAATTAAAAAAGTTTCCCCCTGCAGGGACAAAGCCTCCACCAATCAGAGAGCAGCAGCCTGGCAGGTAAAACTAAGGGCAGAAAAAACCTCAAAAACAAAATGCAAGTTATTAATATTATTACTCTTATCGTTATTAATGATTTATTAATATTATTATTATTTCGGTGACGTCATACAGTCACTACGGAGCAGCAGCTGGGCTCGTGTCACTATCAGGCAGGTGAGAGGTGCGCGGTGGGCGGGGCTTCCTGCAGCTCGTGCCGCCTGTTCTCAGCTGATAGAGCTCTGCAGTGAGTGCACCCCGAGCGGAGATGACTCGGAGAGACGAAGAAGAAAAAGAAAAGAAAAAAGAAGCAGAAGAAGAAGAAGAAGAAGAAGAAAAAGAACAAGAAGAAGAAGCAGGACTGACTAACTGGCAGCAGTTTAAAGTTTAAAACTGCTGCAGGTTGCTGGTTTCTGTTCTGGTTTTACTGGTTCCAGTTTTTCCGTTCAACCTCAGTAACAAACAGTAAGTACAACACAACACAACACAAAACAACACACCTACAGATACACTCTGTTGTCTTAGGGTCACACAAGATAATATCATGTTATGTAATGCAGGAGAAACTCACCTGATAATCAATACAAGTTAGTTAATAATATAGTTTTGTACTATAAAATAGCATGTTTGAATTGTGTTATAAACATAGTATGATATAAGTTAAAATAAGTTCATCTAAGTTAATAATTTAATGTAGGTTTGTAATTAAATCGAATCTAAGTAAGAAAAAAACTAATATAAACAAAATGACATTTTATAAGTTAGTTTGATGATATGATTCAGTTTTGTAATATAATATAATATAATATAATATGAGCTAATTTTAAAATAAATAAAATAACATGAAAATATAATATATTAAGTGAAGTAAATGATACAATTTAGTCAGTATAACACAAAATAAGTTAAGCTGAAATGACTTAATAATGATGATATACACTGTAGCCCATAAAGTTGGAAATATATATATATATATATATATATATATATATTTTTTTTTTTTTTTTATATATATATAGATATTTTTTACCTCTTCTCATGAAATGATTGTGACAACGTGATTGATAGACAAAGTGTGTATCTTTTTAAAACTTTATTGATATCACAACATACTGTGTATTCAGGCTTTAACTAAATTGGGGGTATTGAACAAATAGATTTTTGTTTGCATTTTTCAACCTTGGTCATATCACAGGAAACACATATTTGAGGAGATTTTCATGCATTAGAATGTCCAGTATTAATCTATCAAATGTCACTCAGTCACTAATGTTAAGCATGACCGCCCCTGACACGGATCAATACGTTAAGACATCGTGGCGTAATGTCCACAAGCTTGTTGATGGTGTCAATGGGCAGGACTTCCCACTCCTCGGTCAGGTCCTCAAATCAGTTAAATCACTTGAAATAAAACAAAGTAAATCAGCTGTAAAACTGCTTTTGTCCTCATTTAACTAGATAAAGCTCCGCCCACAGCCCCACCCGCTCTGACATCACAGCTTGTGGTGGGGGGTGATGCTGCCCAGGACCCACGAAGATGGCGCCAGAAAAACACCTGAAGAAGAAGAAGAAGAAGAAGAAGAAGACGAAGACGAAGAAGAAGAGGAGGCGGTTGCCATGACGACTGCAACTAGCCGGGACACCAGCTCGGACTCGGGCGAGGAGACTGGCGCCACGCTGTCAGACTCTGCTCGGGAGGTGTTACCATGGCAACAGGAGGAGGCGGAGCGAGACGAAAAGGAAACGCAGGCGGTAGCTTCGTCGCCGGATGGACGATTCCTGAAGTTCAACATCGAGATCGGACGAGGATCCTTCAAGACAGTTTACAAAGGACTAGACACCGAGAACACACTGGAGGTGGCCTGGTGTGAGCTGCAGGTACACAACACACACACACAACACACACACAACACAAACAATGTATAATGGGTGTCTGTTCCCATGGATGTCTAACAGCTAACTAACTGGTGACTGCCAACTTCTAACAATGAACTGTTGACTGCTAACTGCTAATTGGTAATTGATAAGTGCTAAGTTCTCATAACGAAATGCTAACCGTTAATTGATAACTGTTCACTGTTAAGTTCTAACTGCTAATTACTAACCCCTAACCGCTAACTGCTAAGTTGTGGTAATCCTTAGTTTTTACTTTTAAGATTTGCTGAGCATTTTGATGCCATTGCCATCTTTATTATGTACAGTTACCATGGTTACAGGGGCCTCCATCTTTACTGTTACCATGGTTACAGGTCTTTGCAGTGAAACAAAAATTAAAGTTTCGACGTATCGTTAAATCGATTGTTTCTGAAAGATATTAGAAATAATATTTTTTTATAGTAATTATGGTATGCAAATGTACAAATAGTTTTTATTGAAATTATTTATTATTAAATTTTGTTTAATCTACTTATTTATTTGTATTCTATTTAAAATTATTATTTATACAGCTTTTTTAAAATATTATTTTACAGATTTTGATTCAGTTGAATTTTATTTGTTAATGTACAATGTATTTTCTAAAATTTAATTTTGTAATTTTACCATTTACATATTTAGTACTTTTTCCCCCATTGATAATTATTTATAAAACGTAAAATAAAAAATTTGTTGGTGTATATTGTACATCATCCATGTTATTTAAAAAAAAAATTTATATTTGCAATATTTTTAAAATTATTGTCAGTGGACCACTGAAAGGTAATACTTGTTCTCTTATTTGTTTTTTTTTTTTTAAGTATTTTAGTATAACTACTTTTTGTTTACATTTTATTTCAGCGACTTTATTATTTTTTTGTTTGAAATTATTATTTATATTTTTAAGCAGTATATTGTTTATGGAGGTTTTAACTGCTGAAAAACAAAACAAATTTTATTCAGATATAAATAATTTATATTTGGTATTATTGTGTATAAATTTATAGGTAATTAATAAACATATTGCTCTTTTGCAAGACAATAAAATATTATAGTAAGAAATAATAATTTTATACATTTTTTTTTTCAATTAGGGTTTTTTGTTGATTCTTTTATTCAAATGATTTTAGTTTATTAACTATGAACTAAATGTTTTTCTAAGGCAACATTTACACAAAGACACGTGTAGAATTCTGTGATTATTTCCTGGATGTTTTCTCTGAGTCTTATCTATCACAGGACAGATTTTATGGTTTTATTGGCTCCTGAGGCCGACTGAGAGCTCTGATTGGTTCACAATGAGGAAGTTAAAGAGGCTAAGTAAATATTTAACACACAGTGTGAAGGCACTGAGTATTGCTCTTGTGGGTCAAAACTGATTCTTTCTGATCAATGGAACTACAAACTGATTATCATCTGATATCTGATCAATCTGACCGATCGATTAGAAACTATCTTCTGCTATTAGATCAGTCGGTTTGTCAGGTTTAAGTCTGAGTCAGACACTAACAATGTGCATGTTGCAGAAAAATAAAGGTTCTTAAATGGGCCTTCAAAGCTCCATCACCAGCTAACGCAGCCCTTTATTTAGAGCGTAGTTCTTCATTATGTGGTTCTTTACAGGTTCTTCATGTTTATTGGGTTTCTTTGGTTTCCAGGTAACAGCATGAGGTCAGAGCTGCAGCTAAGCATGATTTTATTCTGGATGAATCCTTTGTTCTTAAAAAATTAATCAATTATCAGTTCGTTTCTCGTCAAAATGACTCGGTGGAACTAAAATACTTCTTCTATGGCATCATTGCAAACCATTTCTGTGTCTAGTTAGTACTTGATTTGGCACCACTTTGTGTTCATTTTGTGTCTCTGGTTTTGTGTCTTTATGGTTGTCTGTTGGCCACACTTTTGTGTGGTTGTTTTGTGCGTCTTTGTGGTTGATTTGCTTCTGTTTGTGTTCATTTTATGTGTTTTTAATTCAGTTTTACTCTCTTTCTGTAGATTTTGTGTGTCTTTGTGGTCATTGTGCATTTATTAGTGTTTGTTTTGCTTCTGTTTTTCATCGGTTTGTGTCTCATTGTGTGTCTGTTTTCTCTTTTAATCTATTGACCTTTAAATCACCTTAAAGGCCGTAAACACAACAGACCAACAACTCTGCGTGTGTGTGTGTGTGTGTGTGTGTGTGTGTGTGTGTGTTATCACCAGCAGCCTTCTGTCCAATCAGATACTGTCCAACAAAGTGCTGAGTCACTGTTCACACTTTATCTCTGTCTCACACACACACATGCGTGCGCGCGCGCACACACACACACACACACACACAGTGTGGAGGTCAAAGGTCGACTCTGTGCTTAGCTTAGGTCGTGTGTTTACATAAAACACTCACCTGTGCTTCACTCTGATTGGTCGGCAGCTCTGACCTCAAAAACACTGTCCTATTTTCATGCTTTTAATGTGAAAGACCGAGCTTTTGTTTTGAAATCCTTGAGTGGTAACAGTTTAGGCGAATTTTTCTTCACAATTTTTTTCAACAGTCTGGTTTCTCTTAATTAATGGAGGGCTCAGTGGAGTGTTCCGTAACAGACAAACTCATCAGTGCACCAATTAGTGATTTGTTAATTAGTGGATGTTCATGTGTTCTTCTCTTCATGTGTCGATCAGACCCACCGCCTGACCAAAGCTGAGCGCCAGCGCTTCAGCGAGGAGGTCGAGATGCTCAAAGCTCTGCAGCATCCAAACATCGTTCGGTTCTTCGACTCCTGGAAGTCGACGCTGAAGGGATATAAATGCACCATTCTGGTGACCGAGCTGATGACATCTGGAACCCTGAAGACGTGAGTCCAGAACCAGAACTGGAAAATTCTGCTATGAGTGGTCATCACAGATATGTATCATAAAGGCTAGATGTCTCAGCCGCGCTGTCGGCCAATGGAATCGCACGGCCACACTGGCGGCCATCTTGGTACGGTCAGCTCGCTCACCTATAACATTGTGTTGTAGTGGTGCATGTACTTTTTAAACAACCATAACTTGCTCAATTTTCTACCGATTTTCAAACGGTTTGGTTTGTTATAAACATCAGAGGTATAGTTATAACACTGAACTTATGGATAATTATGTTACACTGTCACGGCCAGCAACAATTTGTATTTTAATCATTTTTTTATTTTATTTGTATTTTTGTAATTTGAATTGTAGCCACGTTAATAGCGTTTGTAAGAAACCAAACCGTTTGTAAATCCGTCAAGATTAGATAAGAGTATTTACGCTTGTGCAGATCACTCACCTTCCTTCACGTACCACAGGTTCCGCCACAGAGCTGCCCCGTATCAAGATGACCGAAGGGCAATCCCGCTTGAAACGTCGCCTTAAGACATCTAGCTTTCATTATGCATATCTATGGTGGTCGCCACTTCTGGTTCACATTCCATTTTGTGAGACAGTCTTTTCTATCAATCTTTAAGCCTTTTTTCTAACATCTGCATACTTTTTTAAACTTTAGGAGGTGTGGTGTTTAGATTATTAGTTTTCTAAATTTGCAGTGCTCATTTTAGTTCCCAAACACTCCACATCATTTTATGTCCTGAACACCACATTGATTTTAGGTTAGTAAATATCCACAATAATTTTCTTTCTTAATACCCAGCAAACAGTTTAGTTCCTGATTATCCCGCTTTCATTTAATTTTTGAGTACCCCTTTAACACTTTAGTTCGCTCATAGCTTTGTTCATTTCAAGTCTAAATGCACTTGGACAGTTTAGTTCTAAAAAGCTACTCACTCATTTTTGTTCTGAAACATCTTCTTCATTAACACTGTGCCCCCCTTTTAAGTTGCCAAACGTTCCCAAATGTCCACTGCATGTTTAAGTTTCTAAATGACCCACTCTCCTTTCAAATTCCAATCACTCCATGACATTTTAGTTTCTGAACATTCCGTGCTCATTTTAGTTCCCAAACACTACACATGTTTACGTTTTGGAATATCACTTGTTTTTTTTTTACTTCCCTAAATCTGTACAGTTTAGCTCCAAAAAGCTGAACTCTCATTCATTTTCCCATGCCCTTTTAGATTCCTTAAAAGCTGGTGGTTTTATGTTTTTTCGATAAGTATTTTTGGTCTACTAGTTCGTGACAAAGTGGTCCAACAACGACCCACTAGTAACATCACAATGTGACTTTCAAGTTTGGTCCATAATGGTTTTGGCATGAAAATTTAGTGCCAAACTGGGCCAAGTCACAGGAGTTGCTGACCTTTATATCGCGGGTGCAGGTCTTTGGATGTGTTTGCAATTCAAAATGGTGGACAGCGCAACCTCAAGCCCTGTGAAAACTCAACTTGTAGGTACGGTAAGATACAATAAAAACGTGATTAACCACCACCAAGCATCTGCTTCTACCCAGTGGTCCTCAAAAGTATCTCTAGGTCCTTATGATGACCCATGTTAACTCTTCTGTGCTGTTTAGCAAGACAAAACTTGAAACAGTTTTTTTCTCAAAAAATAGAAAATGTGATTTTTGATTTGATGATTTGATTTTTGTTTAGCAACACAAAACTTTGACCCCATTTTTCTCTAAAACTAGTAAATGTTTTTGGCCCACTTTGGCACTCAACAATATTTTAACTTCTTAGCATTGCCTGTTTATTTTGGTTCTAAATGTCCGACACACATTTTAGTTCCCAAACACGCTGCCCTCATTTTACGTCCCAGATTCTCCACAACATGTTAGTTCCCAAACAGCCACTGACTGTCAGACCTCACCTGAGCGAACTTCTTGAACCCGTCCAGGTACCTGCGCAGGTTCCGTCAGATGAAGCTGAAGCTGCTGCAGCGTTGGAGTTTCCAGATTCTTAAGGGGCTTCAGTTCCTGCACTCGCGATCCCCCCCCATCCTGCACCGAGACCTGAAATGTGACAACATCTTCATTACCGGACCCACCGCCTCCGTTAAAATTGGCGACCTGGGCCTCGCCACACTCAAGAGGGCATCCTTCGCCAAGAGCGTCATCGGTAAGAGGAGGCAGGTTCATATTTAAACAGCATGTGGTCCTTCGTAAACTTAATTTGTGAAAGTAAAGGAGGTTAGCCGCAGCTGCTGTTGAATCATGTTGTGATTGGTGGTGCGTTCAGGGACTCCAGAGTTCATGGCTCCAGAGATGTACGAGGAGAAGTACGATGAGGCCGTGGACGTTTACGCCTTCGGTATGTGCATCCTGGAGATGGCGACGTCCGAGTATCCGTACTCTGAGTGTCAGAATGCCGCCCAGATCTACCGCAAGGTCACCAACGTAAGGCCACGCCCACCTCAGCACCACCTACTTCCTGTTCTCGTCCACACCTCTGACAATCTGTTTATCTCTCAGGGAATCAAACCGGACAGTATTTTTAAAGTCAAAGTCCCGGAGCTGAAGGAGATTATCGAGGGATGCATCCGAACCAACAGCAGCGAGAGGTTTGTGGTTAGTTCACTGTCTGTAATGGCAGCGGGAAAATCCAGCATCTAGTCTGATGCACTACATTGTTCCCAAATGCAGTTTCTAAATACACCACACACATATCAGGTTCCAAACACACTGTGCTCATTTTGTATTCTGAACACACCATGAAACTTTAGTTCCCAAAAGCAAAAGACAGTTTTAGGTTCCTGAATGTCACATATTTAGTCTAATTTGCCCAAACCCCTACACACTATGCTGTACTGACAGCAGGAGAATCCAGAGTCTACAGCAGCACATTACAGTTCCCAGAGGTCCTGCTCTCATTTTTGTTTCAACATGCCCATTGCACACTTCAGCTCCTTAACACTCTGCATTCATTTCATATCGGAAACAAACGACGACAACAACCATTTCTGAACATTACATATGCGTTATAGTCCCCAAGGTTTACAGAGTATTTCAGTTCCCCAATGCCCAGTCCAGAATACCTCACACTCATTTGAGGTCCTAAATGCTTCACAACATCTTAGTTCACTCTATGTAAAAGCAGTGGGACAGTCCAGCCTCAGCGGTCAGCTGGTTTTTTAATTCGTCTGCAGGTTCACGGTTCAGGACTTGCTGGATCACCGGTTCTTCCAGGAGACGCTCGGCGTCCACGTGGAGCTTGCCGAGAATGATGACGGCTTGAAGGCGGCGCTGAAGCTTTGGCTTCGGATGGATGGTGACAAGAAGCTTCACGGCAAATACAAAGACCACGACGCCATCGAGATCCTGTTCGAGCTGTACAAAGACGTCCCCGAGGAGGTGGCACAGGAGATGGTACCTGCAGCGCCGCCACCATCCTGACAGCGCCACCACCTGGTAGTCTGTCTCACCTGTGTCTCTCTGTGTCTCAGGTGGTTCTGGGCTTCCTGTCCGAGGCCGACTACAAGCTAGTTGCCAAGGCGATCCGACACCGAGTGACAGCCATAAAACGTCAGCGGGAGAAACAGCGTGGCCTGCTAGAGGAAGCTCTCAGCCACCAGAAGGAATCTGCAATCAAAGAAGAACCTGGCCCCGCCCCCCAGTTAGCTGAGCTGTCCAATCAGAGATCTGCAGCTTCCACAAACACACCTGCTGCTGGGAAAGTAACCAATCAGGTGCGTTTGAAGCTGTTGTCATGGAAACAGAGCAGGAAGACTGAGATCTGCTTTGCAAATGTTATAAATTGTGCCGCCACTTTTGCTTTGTCTTATTTTGGATGTTTGATTTCTTGATGTTTGTTTTTTTCAGAATTTGTTAGTTGGATGTTTGTTTGTTAAACATTTTTTTGATGCTTCATGTATAAACATTGGATCTTTAAAATTTTTTCTTAAACAAAAAAAGGGTTAATTTTTTTTTACTTCATCGTTGAACATATCGATTGATAGGTTATTTATTGTAATTTAATTGATCAGAAAAAGACGCGAGCAGCCGATTACAAACACACTGACTGTTAACAGGACACAGCTGCTGCTTTGGCCTCCACCTGGATTCAAGCCCCACCCACGGTGGCCATGACATCATCGGTGGTGTCGTCGAGCAGCAGCCAGGTGGATTCTGGGATCAGCAGCATCTCCAGCAGGACAGACAGAGACGAAGACGATGACAAAACCACTAAACTCGCCTCAGTCTCCTCCGCTGCCTGTAAGCACCTTTCAATCTGTATTTACATACTTTATTATTAAAGATTTTATTATGTGTTTTATTTTAATTTACATTTTTAGGTGAATGTTTTATTTTTATGTATTTTATTTTTAATATAATGTTAATATTAGGGATTATTTCATAAAGTTAGATTATATGTAAATAGTAGTGTATATTTTGAAATATTTTGATTTAAAATTTGTAATATTCATTTAGTATTTTACTTATTTTTGATATGTATATATTGTTTATTTATTGTATTTTAAGATATTGTAAATTACATTTTACATTGTTGTTTTAAACTATTTTTAAAAATATGTTTGTGATTATCTATTCATATTTTTGCAATATTTAAATTTACATGTAATATTATTGTTATATTTTTAATGTTTTTATTTGTGACATTATGATTATTTTTTTTTGATAATATGTATTTTAAATATTTTAATTTATATTGTGCATCATTAATGTCTTTTAAAATTATTTTTAGAATATTTCAATTTACAATATATGTTACTTATTTTGGTATATTTGTGATTACTTATTAGCAATATATGTTTTTAAATAATTCAATTTACATTAATGTTTTATTTTTTAAAGGCATTTTAAGTATTTTTTTTAACAGTATGTATTTTAAAATATTTAAACATCAATATAAATAAATAAATCATTGTCCTTGTTTCCGTGGCAGCTGATTGTGAGATGGACATCTCCTTCAGTTCTTCAGGTGTCCTGGAGAAAATTGAAGCCCCGCCTCCTCCTGTCCCAAGCCCCGCCACTGTTCCAGTGGTTCAGGAAATGCCTCGACCTGAGGCTCCTCCCCTTGTGGCTCGGGTCAAACCCAAAGCCCCGCCCCTTCCGGTGCTGCGTTTCCCAAAGGTTAATCACGTTCATCACATTTTAGATTTTTGGACTGAAATATAAAATGATTTTTAGTTTTATTAGTATGTTGTGTTTGTCTGCAGAGCATCGCTGTTACCAACAACGCAGAGCGACCGCCACTGGAGTCAGTCTGTGGTTTCTCCTCACCTGTCGAAAGGTAACACACATTGACAAACTCAATAAAGTAACATTTTTATCACACGAAACTTTGGTTTGAGGCCAGTTTAACAAACCAAACTCTGGTGGGGACAAAATGTCCTCATTTTTCAAAAGTATCTTCACTTTCTTTGACTTCTGAACTCGTTGTTGGATGTTTTCTGAACCTTATTTTTTCTCACTGTGGTTCATTTTCCACTGCAATAAAAAAAAAAAAAAAAAAAAAAAGATTTTTGTAATAAGTAATGGATTGTTGCTTCTTGGTCTTCTATTTCCATAGAGGTGCAGGCCTTTATATTGCAGTGAAAAATGACACAAGAGAAAACAACCCCCAGCAACTGCCGGTAGTTCAGAGGGTTCAGGTTGGATGCGTCACATTTAACTGTCGTGTGTTTACGTCTGTTTGCAGTTATGCCTCAGACGTAACCTCAGGTCTGAGTGACGGCACCGACGGCCAATCAGATAAGAGCATCCAGAAGGCAGCTAAAAGAGAGGCTGCCAAACAGTTCAGGAGGAGGGCAAAGGCTCGTTTGAGGATCATCGGGGTGAGTCATTGTCACGTCACCTGTCACCTCGTCTGTTACTTCACCTGTGACTTCACCTGTAACTTCACCTGTATCGCAGTGCTGAGCGTTAATGCTGCGTGTTTGTCCAGGTGTCCGACATGGTTGACCGAGTGGTGGAGTGTCAGCTGCAGACTCACGACAGCAAGATGGTGACGTTTAAGTTCGACCTGGACGGAGACAATCCAGAGGACATTGCATCAGTGATGGTGAGGACCAATAACCAATCAGAGCGCAGTACTGGACAGGTGTTTTAGCTCCAGTTCAGCTGAGTACACAGTTTATCTTGCAATTTCTCGGCTCAGATCCACAGAGACTTCATCCTTCCATCTGAGCGTGAAGGATTCATCATCCGCATGTATGACATCATAGAGAGTGCAGAGTCAATGATGCATCGGCAGCAGCCAGCCAACACCGACAGGTTGTCTCACCTGACCACATCCACAGCACCTGACTCCCAGGTACCAGGAGTGCATCTGATTCACCATATTGCCTGTAAAACACAGAAACAGTCTGAACCTTATATTTCACCTTATGCCGACATAAACATTTACACACATTTAAAGAAATCAAAACCTAATTATTAATCTTTTTTCATCATAATTTGTTTTGTTTTTTTTACTGATTTAAAACTTTCGTTCTTCTTGTGATTTACATTTTTGCAGTCCAACCTGTCAGCAGCGGTCCTCTCCAGAACTCTGTCTTCGTCCTCATTACCTGGTAAGGAAAAACAAATTTTATTGCAGACCTCGATGGTTCTGATGTGGATGTAAATTTATCTGACTCCTGCATTTACTTACCAACACACGTCACATCACCTGGACATTTGTTCGTTGATTGATTCCCATCAGATATTGACAATGCTGACCCTGCCGCCTTGAAGGGAGTTGACTTCCTCATCAATTCAGAGGCCTCACCCACTGTCAGGCCGCTGAGGTCGCAGTCTTTCCACACCTCATCAGGTACGTGAGAACATAATCTATTTATTCATGAACAGATATAAACAATCCCTTTTTTCAAATGATGAAGTTCAGTAAATTCTCCCATTGTATGCCATCAGTAATTCGTGTGGTTCCTCAGGGAAGCATCCTGGGTCCTTTGAAATTTACATTAAACCTTGAAAGACGTAAAGGACCTCTACCATTTAGATAAGTCCTCTTGATCTTCAGTAACCTGTGAGATTACTCGGGGAATCTTCATGGGACCCTGAACTTTCCGTTAAACATTAGCTAAATTTACAGGAGCTTTGCCATTTATTAAAAGCTTATGTTTTCTGCCATCAATAATGTGGGGTTCCTCGGGTCCTCTGAAGTTTCTAATAAATTTATCTAGATTTAAAGGAACTTAAACATTTGGTTAATCCCTCTTTTTCTTTCTTTAAATTTAAGGAATCCCGACTGATTGGCTAGGCTCATTCAAGTTAGGTGTTAGATTTTAGTCTCAACTATCCTTAGTGTGCTTCATGGAAAAGGCCCCAGGTTAGCAGTTGGTATGAATTTGCTTAATGGAACCAAAATAATCTTACAATAAGTCAGGGTAACTGAAATATGCCAGGCTTATTTAGTAAACTCATTTTATAGACCAGGTCCCTGGACACTAAGAGATGAATCAAAACCATAAATAAAACATTTTGAGTAAATGCATTTTAAAGGTGAACAAGAGGAATCATTGAAATAAGTGGATTTTCTTTCTTTCTTTCTTTTTTGATTGAGTTGTGTTTTACCATGACTTATTAAACCCTCTGTCCACAGCTTCCTCGTATCAGCCTCCTCCCTACCCGATCCATTACCCCCACCCCCAAGCTCCTTCTCCCTCTCACCTTTCTCCTGGTCCCCAGTATCACATCCCCCCACCCCCCTACTCCACCTACACCCCGTCCTTACCCACACTAAGCCCCACCCCCAATCTGCCCCGTGTTCACAGTAACCCCTCCCTCTCCACCACCATGTCCCCCTCACCACCAGCTCCTTCCCCTCAGTGGCCCCCCTCTGACCAGCCTCTCTTCTCTCTGGCCAATGTGCTCTCATTGGCCATGACCGTGGCCCAGTCCCTCATGCCCCAAACTGGGGCTGCCAACCAGGGCTTTCACCCGCAGCCCCTGCCACCAGTGTTCTCCCCCCAGGGCCTCTCCCCTCCATCATCTCCATCTACTGGTCCTTTGCTCCCTCCTGCAAATAACCCCTCCCCATCCACTGCCTTCACACCCCAACCACCCCACAGCTCCCTACCACCTCCAACAGGCTCCGGCCCAGGTAGCCAGCAGGGGGCGTTGCCCGGCCGGACTCCAGCCATGCCTCAGGTAAGGAACGAGCAAGGACAAGTTCAGTTACCTGCAAAGGTTCACCTGAGAACAGGTGGTGGGTTCAGGAGCAACTTATGAGTTTTCAGTGTGTTTACTTGACTGACACCATTCTTGAAGCTAGAACAGGCACAACATTAGAGGAACCTGGTTTCTGTAGTTGAGTAGAAGATTAGAAAAACCTGGTTATTATTGTTGGGTAGAAGATTAGAAAAGGATGGTTTCTAATGTCAGGTAGGGGATCGGGGTGTTCTGGTTTCCGTAGACCTGAATATATTTTAATGCTGATTTAATATGTAATTTTATAGCGCTACTGTAATGTGTTTTCTCTGTTCTTAGTTTGACTGTATGAATGTTGATTATTCAGATGGAAGCATAAACAAGTAGCACATCAGGGTAAATGTAAGTGTTTCCTCTTGTCCAGGTGTCCCCACCTGTCTCCCCATCACCACAACTGTCCCCCATACATGAAGGTAAGACACACCTTGTCAGTCACACACTGGCTCTATCATCATACTGCTTCACTATCAGGACCATGTATTCACTGTGGTGGTCCTGGTCAGGTTCACAGCAAACATGCTGGAATACATCTGAGCCAAACAAATTTATCTTGGTCTCATCTGACCGAAGAATGTTCTCCCAACATTCATCAGGCTTCTTTTCATGTTCTGTAGCAAACTTTCATCTGGAAATTTTGTTCTGAACAGCAACAAACTTTTGTTCTTCTCGATAGAGGTTGATGTTCTGAAGTGTTCTTAACACTAAGCTTCACAAAAACTTTCTCTCTAAAGCAGCTGTTGTCTGTTTTGATCCAACAGCTTGTTCATTGAATTATCCGCTTCCTTCTTTTCAGTGAAGAAACCTCCAGTCGTCACTGTGGGTCGCTTCCAGGTGACGCCATCTAAAGAAGCTACTGCTGTCCATCATCAGGAGCCCCGCCCCTTGAATCAGGCCACGCCCACATCCCACTCGCCACCTCCCACTATGAAGAGGGAATCAGAGAGCAGCACAGAAAACAGTACGGAGGAGCAGAGCGAATCAGAGAGCAGCGTGAGCACAGTGACGGTCCACACGACTGGTCGTCCTCTGGGTTACCCTGACAACGCTCAGGAGGAGGGGGAGGACAGGAGGAGGGAGGGACCGCGGCTGAGCGTCACTCTGAGGGAGGGGCCGTCTCTCAGCCAATCGTGGAGCCGCTCTGCCACCTACAGCTCCGATGAATCAGACGGCGAGGAGATGTGGGAGGAGCTACATGAGCTTCGTGAAAGGTGATAGGTGGATCAGTGAGATGTCCACAGGTGTTTTACAACAGGTGTACACATCTGCATAGGTTCAAGGTCACACTGTCCAGTTTTATCTATTCATTTCAGAAGCTTAAAATGAAAAAGCTTAAAAAAGCTCTTTCAGAGAATAATTTTTCTTTGAAAATTTAGAATTTTTGTGAAGCACGAATCAAAAATTCTACAGAACATTTTAACATAAATTAAAGGCTTCATGTTCTTGGTTTCACCGTTCAAACCACAAGAAGCAGTAAAAGCAGATGAGTGTGTTTCATACTACAGATGCAGCAGGTTTGGACAGCAGGTGGCGCTGTTTCACTGCATCAAACACTGAATCACTTATTTCCAGAATCTGATGAATCAGCTTGTTCTTTGCTTGAGACTAAGTCCATGAAAAATACCCTCAGACCTCAGAATCAGCTGATTCTGTACCTACAGTAACTTTAGCATATTTCATGACACAAAGTTTTACCTTCATGCCCTAAATATTTTCAGAGTTACAGGTCCTTAAAGTACATAAAGGTGGCTCAAAATTTCACACTTTTTACTGGACTTTTTCCATCATTTCTCAGCCTCATAACTTCATCAGTACAGCAGATAGACACATCTGAAAAACACATTTGAGTTCTGTTTAAAAAAAAAAAAGCGACCACATCAGTTTTACATCCATCCAGGTTTCATAATCTAAACACTAAAACAGTTTTTTGTTCATTTTCTCTATAACCAAACTTGAGCATCAATATTATGCATCATAGTTTGAACGGCAAGACTGCTGCAGTTTGACAAAGAGTCATGGAAATAAGCATTGGTACTCTGGATGTGTTTTCCACTTTCTGATCATTCATCAGAAAAATATTTCGAAAGTGCATTTCAGGTAAACTTTCAAGGCTCATATTAACATGTTTTATAGGTGGTTGGTCAGAGCAAAGTATTGCAGACGAAAGGTCTCATTTTTACCTACATTTGATAATAGGATCGTCTGCTAGATAGGATTCACTCTGTGGAAAATCACATTTTCGAACACTGCTCTCTTGAAATCCGGTCTGACTCCACCCTCCTCTTCGCAGACACCTGGTGGAGGTTCAGAACCTGCAGGTCAATCAGAAGCGAGAGATTGAGGAGTTGTATCAGAGGATGGGTAAAGTCCCGCCTCCTGGGATCGTCCCACCAGCAGCCATGTTGAACAATCGCCAGCGCCGTATGTCTGTGTCCGGGAACTACCCTCCCTCTCGCAAAAACAGCCTGCAGAGACTGGAGCTGCTGTCCCCTGCAGGTGGGAGGACACACTGCAGCATGCAAACACACTCAGCAGGCGGCGGTTATTTACCTGTTTGTGTGTGTGTGCTTCAGGTATCATGAGGAAGAGTTCGGTGAGCGGCGGCAGCAGCGGGTCTCAGGACCGAGCATTGAAAGGTGTGAGCTTCGTCCCAGGACACAGCTGCATGGTGAGTTCACTACGATCAGTGTTTAACCCTGAACAGGAATGAGAACCTGGAGTTCACTGGCAGGGAAAGAAAACCAGCGTTAAATCTCAGTCAGAACAGTCTGTGGGTCATCTGTCATCCAGCACAGAACAACCGAAATCTGTTTCTTGTTTCTGCACCAAAAAATGTAACAACTTTTTCAAGTGTCAGACTCCAAAAAACATTACAATACAATCCATCTCACAATTAAATTTGTCATTATTCTTTTGAAAAACAAAAAAAACAGAAATCGATTAGTACACAAAAAACAAACCTCATAACTCCAGTTTTTCTTTCCAAAAGAAAAGTTAAACTAATAAACAGCAACAACAAAAAGTTAGCCAAGTTTGTGTTTTTGTAGTATTAAATGTTATTGCTGCCTCATCTGTTCATTTGTCAAAAAAAAAGAATAAGAAATAAAGAATGTTTTTTCTATAACAGTGAAAAATTGTGCAAGCACAGGATCCATACATAAATAGATAAACTATATGGCCAAAAATATATAGACATGCTTTGGTGCTAATTCTATGTTAATGCAGGCAGTAAGAGTCTTCAGCTGTCCATATACTTTTGGAGATATAGTGTAGATTAAATCAGGACTTTTTGCATTAAAATAAATCAGTAAATTTAGTTTAAATTATACACCACGAAGCTGCTCAAGATTTCTAACAACACAAATATGAACTGTGAATAAATTCAGGTGAAATCTGAGTTTTAATAATGAACCATTGAGTTTAACATGTGATAGCAGTTCTGTTCTGGAGCTTTTGATCGCATCAGACGGAAATGAAGCCGTTAGAACTGATTCATTTTCAAGTGTCATTTATTTATGTGGCCCTGCGATAAACTGGTGACCTGTCCAGGGTGTCCCGTGCCTTTGCTCTAAGTCAGCTGGGATAGACTCCAGCCCCCCATGACCCTAGTGAGAATTAAGTGGTGTATACATAATGGATGGATGGATTTATTTATGTAAAAGTTCTGGTTTCACATCAGAACCAACCCGACGCTCCAGAATCATCTAATCAAAGCCTCACATTCATGACAGAATAACATGCAGTCGGCTGTTTTCTGATCTTCTACTTTTGTCTTCCAGTGACAGAGGAGCTGAAGGAGATGCAGAGGACTCACCATCGGTAGAAATGTCTCTGTTCCAGAAACGCTCTGAGAAGGTTCCGCCGAGTTCTCCTGATGCTTTCAGCAGGAAGGTTTCCCGTGGTTCCCAGAACGTTCCTCTCAAAGGCAGGATAATAAGGACGCTCTAAAAATGTTTGGCGAAAACATTGTTGGACTGTTATGCTCTAATGTTTTCAAAACTGGATGTTACATGGAGAGTGTTCTTCCTTTGCTGTCATGGAACATGATGGAACATTGTGGGAATGTTTTATAGATTCTTTGTGTTCCTTCAACAATAGGTGAATTGTTCTACTTTGTATATATCACATCACAGGAACCTTATTAAAACGTTCCATATAAAGAACGTTCTGTTATCTAAGGACTCAATAACATCTGGAAATGTTTCTCTGTTATCATGGAATATTGTGGGAACATTTTCTCGATTTTCTAATGTGTTCCTTCAACGACATCTTTAGAACATCTTTAGAACATTACAGGAAGAATGTTCCAGCTCTGGTAATGCATCACAGTACAGGAATGTCTAAAAAGAACGTTCCTTTTAATGTTTTCCAAATGTTGCACTGAGAACATCCTTTCTTTAATATCATTACAGAAATGTTTTATAAAAAGAACCTTCCATAATGTGTTTGTTTAATTGGAAGGCAAAATGTTCCACCATTAATATATCACATTACCGGAACATTCTGTTAAAAACAAATTCTGTCATCGAAGGGCTCAATAGTATCTGGAAAACTCTTTCCAAATGTTGGAACATTCTTTCTTTGTTTTCATAGAACATTGCTGGACTGTTTTGTAGAAGAATGTTCTATAATGTGTTCCCACAACAATAAGGCTAAACGTTCCACCTTTAATATATCATAGAACAGGAATGTTTTAAATTGTTCTATATAAAGAAAAAACAACACATTCTGTCATCTCAGGCCGCAATAACATTTTTTAATAATGTTTTGAATGAATATCATCTGTGTTCCTGACAACGTTCTCTAAATGTTTCAGCTGAAAGTCCTCGTAGCAACATTGTTTGATATGATAGATGCCTAAAAAATGTTCTTTGAACATTGGATTAAAACACCGAAACATCGTCAGAACTTGTAGGTACTGCTAGCATATGTTGTGGGAACGTTTGCTGCTGGCTGGAACAGGAAGTCTGATTTTTTCACATTTTCGTGATGTTTTAGCACTTTAGGAAGAAAACGCTGAGCTTCGTTTCAGTCGCTTCTGCAGTTTTAACATTCAGTTTCTTCAACAGAACTTTTAGAAACACTGACGGAGACGAAAACAGCAAAAACTGATGGAAGCCTTCAGTGTCTTTAAAGAAGAATCTCACTGAGAACCTCAGTAGCTTTTTAAATCTGTGTTCCAGAACTTGATCAGCGTCAGTCAGCGTACAACTTTTAAGATCATTTTTTACTTCTGAATTTCTGCTCAGACGGAAAAGATTTTTACTGACCCTATACGACACATTCTCATGTTCTTTATCTGGACTTTAGCTGCTCATAGAGTCTCAGACACTCAGTAAAGAACTGAACAGACCAGCTACACAGTCTGTAAGAACCTGAGTCTCTGGATGGAGTTTGAGTCGCAGTGTGTTGTATTTAAACAGATTTATGGATAAATTATTTGATGTGTGACGTGTTCAGATCGATTCACTTTCTGAGGATTTCAGAGTTTTTGAAAGTTGCCTCAATTTGAAGTTTTTCTGTTGAATAAAAGTGATAAAACACCATCATGCTGCCAGATTCACTTTCATTAGCACGGCTGAGTTCCAGTGGTGAAGTATCGTGTATTCATTGCACTGCAGGACTCCAGTAAATGAAGTGAACACTAAAGTACAAACCACAACGTCTGACAGATCACAAGAATGTCGCAGGCACATGACACTAACACACTCTTTGAAACATCACCGGATAAAGAAATAATGCAACTGAAATTAAAACACTGTACCTGTAGTGTGTCATATTTAATTTCTTTATTGTGTGTGATATAACTTTACTACCTCAGCATCATTGCCAGTATTACACCTTACTTTTCTATTCTGGTCCTATTTCAGCTTGTTTTCATTTTCAGTAATGTCTCCTATTGGATGTCATGTAGTTTTATTTCCATGACCATTACCTGACCCAAGAATTTCTTTCAGGATGAACAGTTTTATCTTGTTTTATCTCCATATTTCTGTGGTGTGACAGAGAACACAGACTTTCAGTAGCTATGCTGCCTACATGAGATTATTATGACTCATGCATTCATGTAAAAGCAGAACTTTACTGTTGCAGTAACTTGGACCACCTGCAGATCACAGGACCAGAATCAAGAGCCAGAATCTACAAGCAGTATCAGAAGAGTTGAACTACAAATAAAAGACCCAAATGAAAGTGCATTTTAATCTTAGCAACAGTAAGAAGCTACTTTTCAGATCAGGAAGATTTTATTTGAATAAAAATATTTGATCAGTGAAATTGCAGCATTAAGTCGTTTTCCACTGCAAGAACTTCTCGGAGCATGCAAGCTGTTATAAGGCAGCCTGAAGATTTCAGCGTGTCTTGACCACAAGAGATAAAATTACCCCAAAGCTGCCCAAAAACTACAACGGGTTTGTGAGTCAAAACACTGTTGCTTCATATTGTGAGCCTTCACATGTATCTGGTGACCTTTAGGAGGGAACCGACTCCAAGGTTGGGCCTCACTGCACTGATCTCACTTTCTAGTACAGTCGTGACCCTTAACAATCCGAAAACCTTGTTGTCTGACAGGTTTTTAGGAAAAACAAACGGAACCCATTAAAAATAGCCTTAACATACCGACAGCCTTGGATTCTGACTCCAACATGACATTTTATGTCACAAATAAGGATAACGGCGTATTATCTGACTGAACAATCCCACAGATTGGCTACGTTCAGACTGCAGGACTTAATGCTCAATTCGGATTTTTTTGTGAAATCCGATTTTTTTGTGAGTTCGTTCACATTTCCAATGAAATGCGACTTGTATGTGATCTGCTGTGTGAACTTCATACGACCCAAAAGTGTCCCGCATGCGCAGAAGAGGACACAATGATGTCACACGCAGTGAGCGTGCTCAGTGTTTAGAGAAGTAAACACAAATGGTAACAGTGGAGCTCCCCCACCGTCACCACTGATGGCGGAAACAGAACTGTGACCGCTATCCTAAACTAGCATCAGCAGCCAAGTACTGCCTGTGTGACACTTCCACCCGGTCAGAGCGCTCCCCCAGGGTACTAGTGTCCAACCAACCGTGCTGAATATTCAGCTATTCATCATTAAATGGATCTGTGTTATTCAGGCTGTCATGAAAAGATCTGATACAGGTCCCAAAAGAAACAAAAAATCGGATTTGGGTCACTTCAGGGGCTGCAAGGTGGCGCAGTTGGTTAGCACTGTTGCCTCACAGCTAGAAGGTCGCCAGTTCGCGCCCCGGTGGGGGCACCGGAATCTTTCTGCATGTTCTCATCGTGCAGCGTGGGTTCTCTCCGGGTTCTCCGGCTTCCTCCCAACAGTCCAAAAACATGTTGAGGTTAATTGGTGATTCTAAATTGTCTGTAGGTGTGAATGTGAGTGTGCTTGGTTGTCTGTCTCTAAGTGTAGCCCTGTGACAGACTGGTGACCTGTCCAGGGTGTCCCCTGCCTTCACCCTGAGTCAGCTGGGATAGGCTCACTCACTAGGGTCGCGGGGGGGCTGGAGCTAGAGGTGTATAGATAATGGATGGATGGGTCACTTCAGCCTGCTGTCTGAAAGTATTTACCTTTGATGTCAACCGACGGGCCCGTGCACAAGCACACCAGTCAATTAGACGTGAAATCCAGCGATGCGTAGTGTTCTAACAATACACTAGTTATTGTAACAACTATAAACAATAAATATTAACAACAAATGAGCCTTCCAGCATCAAGCCCTCCTTGTATCTCGACCTCCGTCTTGACAATCCGACAGCCTTGCAATCCGACATAAAAGAAGGTTTTATATTTAGTGTCGGATTATCGAGTCGCAACTTTATTTAGTATTTTACTTTCATCGCAGCAGGTTCTTTAGACACACTTTATAAACATAAAATCATGACTTCATTGCTTTGTATGAAACTTTGAACTGTACTTTCTGGTCCTGTGAAATGTAAATCAGGTGGTTTACAGGAATCCACAGCAGTTGTATAACAGTCAGTTAGCTCTAAGGGAGTTATTACTATGACCTGGAAAGCACATATAATCAGGGACATGAATAGATAAGCGTCTCCTCTGGAAGCATTATCTGATTGAGTTACAATGATATGATCTTGAACATACCTGTTGTTATACCAAGTGTTGAAAGTGAAACCTGTCTTTCTTCAGACAATCAAACAAACTCTCATTTATTCAACCAAACCATTTGTCTAAACCTTCCAGTCATCTCATCTGTCTTATTTATTTGCCACTAATGTTGTTACTGGCTGATTGATGTTTAGCCAAATCAAGCTATTGGGTTTAACAAAGACTAGCTAGCTACTGTTCTGCGACACTGCTGTGATGCTCACCTGGGGTTTGGTCAAAGAGCATTTGGTAAATATTGGAGAAAGTCGAATACTGATTTAACACACAGTAAACTATGTTTCATATTTCTGACTCCATGTTGGGCCGAAGACAAACTTAAATCAAAGCTAAAAATATGTGGCTGTTGTAGGTATTTCCAGTGTTAAACATTAACGGCGTATTTTTATTGTACCTTCTGGGTGTTGCACAATAAAACAAGACTAACTCCTCCTCTGTTGAACACCATAAAAGACAAACCTGGACGCTGAATGACAGATGAAAGGATTTTCTAAACCAAAGTACATTCAAGTGGTTCTCTACAGCAAAGGTAGGCTGACAAAACATTTTTCAGTTCATGATACTGTTTTGTGTCGAGTCTGTCTTTTGTACATTGTTCATGCAAAGTATTCACTCTCAGAGGAGAAGATTTTTATTCGATTTGTTTCTGGAACAACTTTTTTTTAAAAAGAGTCATTTCTGTCAAAGTGGAAACAGATTTCTACAAAGTAATGTTAGTAATTAATTACAAAAATTTAATGTAAACTCAGTCACTGCACAAGTTTTCTCCTCCTTGTAATCAGTATTTATTAGATGCACCTTGGCTGCAGCTACAGCATTGATCCTGTGTTGGTCTCAATCAGCCTGAACATCTGGACGCTGAAATTTTACCTCATTCTTCTTTGTAAAAGTGTTCAAACTCTGTCAGGTTACACAGGGAACATTAGTAAACAGACTTTTCCGAGTCCAGACACAAATTCTCAGTTGGATTGAGGTCTGGGCCACTCCAGGACATTCACCTCATTGTCTTTAATACTGATTCACCAGTGTCGGGACCTTCCAGATACAAGTGTCTTTATATTACAATCACTGAAACACATTTACTGGCTCAAATGATCTCCATTTCATTAGCTGTGTGACTTCTAGCACCATCTGGCTGCACCTGAGTTCAATTACAGTCACTTTGAAGGGATGAATGCTGACGCACTCACTTATTCTACATTCTATATTTTTAACAGCTGAAATATGTTTGTAGAAATCTGTTTTCACTTTGACATAAAAGAGACTTTTTAGAAAATTCTTGT